CCTTTTTTACCACTTGGACATATCGTTCAGCTTGTCCATTTGTCGCAGGGTGATAAGGTGCGATGCATTTGTGGTGAATTCCATTTGATTTTAAAAACATTTCAAATTCTGTCGATTTCAGTTGGCTGCCATTATCAGATACTACTGTAACTGGTAATCCAAAACGAGAGAAGATGTCACGAAGAATGCGTATTGTAGCATTTGCAGTAATATTTTTCATCGGTATTGCCTCTATCCATTTTGTGTAAGCATCTACGATAATAAGGATGTAAGTGTTCATAAAAGGTCCTAGGTAGTCAATATGGATACGTTGCCATGGGGATGATGCATATTCCCAAGGATGGTATACTTTGGCAGGCGAGTTTGCTACATTCGAACAATGCATGCAATGTTTGCTCAGTGCTTCAATGTCGGAGTCTATTCCTTTCCACCATACATAGCTACGCGCGAGTGCCTTCATTTTAACAATGCCAACGTGAGCACTATGAAGTTCTTGTAAAATTTTGTGTTGTAAAGATTTTGGTATGACAACCCGTATTCCCTTAAAAATACAACCGTCCAACAATTCAAATTCGGTTTGCGAATAGCCTGTTGGTAACAAGTTACCAGCTTGTAGAGATAAATATAAATTTTTAAGCTCTGGATCCTTTAGCGTTTGATTTTTAATTTCTTTCTGGGTCACTGGAAGTAGGTCGATTTGGTGAATTTGTAGAACGGATTCTGTATTGATTTCTTTTCCATCGATTTCTGTGGGTAAAGGAAATCTTGAAAGGTAGTCAGCATTGGCATGATCTTCACTTCGCCTATACTCGATTTGGTAATCAAATCCAGATAAAAAGTTTGCATAATGCAACATCCTGGTGGCGGATGTAGCAGGCATTTCCTTGTTTGGATGAAAAATTGCTGTAAGCGGCTTATTATCCGTAACAAGAATAAATTTTCGACCATAACAAATATTGGAAAAAATGCTTAAGACCCCAAATTATTGCTGTTGCTTCCTTGTTTATGTGACTGTACGATTTTTCACTTTTGGACAAAGACCTTGACGCGAAAGCAATAGGTCTTTCTGCTCCGTCAGGATATCTGTGTGACAGTACGGCGCCTAATCCTTCTGGTCCAGCGTCTGTGGCTAGAACTAATGCTAGTTCCATATTAAAATGTGTAAGAACCTTTGGACTAACGAGTTCTTCCTTAATTTGACGAAATGCTGTTTCACATTCTTTGGACCATACAAATTTTGCATTCTTGACAAGTAATGCGTATAAAGGTGCCAGTTTCGAAGACACATTTGGAAGGAACCTGTGATAGTAATTTATCAACCCGAGTAACTTCCGTACCCCCTGTACGTCTTTAGGCTGAGGAGCGTTTTTGATTGAGTCAATTTTGTCCGGCATGGCATGTAATCCTGATTCATCAATTACATGACCCAAATAATTGATTGATTTCTTGAAGAACTCGCACTTCTTTTTATTCAAATGTAAGCCCCTTGTACGTAACCTGTCAAAGGTTAGCTTCAACCTGTGGATTGTTTCTTGGTAGGTCGAGCCTTGGACTTTAATATCATCGATGAAGCAAGTAACTCCGTCTAATCCACTTAGTAATTGGTCCATAAAACGTTGCCAACAGTTTGGCGCTATTTTTACTCCAAACATAAGGCGTTTTACCTTGTAGGTACCCAAATGTGTTGAAATTGCTTGTAACATTGCAGTTTCTTCATCGACTTCCATATGAAGGTAAGCTTGACTAATGTCCAGCGTGCAAAAATATTTACCTCCTTCCATACTGGCAAAAATATCTTGTATTCTGGGTATAGGGTACTTGTCATTTCGAATGTGCTTATTTATTGTGCCTTTGTAGTCAGCACATAGGCGTAGTTTCCCATTTTTCTTAATTACTGGAACTACCGCAGAACCCCAGTTTGAATGTACCACTTTTTCGATAATGTCTGCTTTTTCGAGTCGTAGAATTTCTTCTTCGACACGAGTTTTTAATGCGTATGGTACTGGTCGTGCCTTCATAAAAATTGGTGAAACTGATTCATCATTTAATTTTATGGAACATTTGTAGTCAGGAATTTTCCCAATTTCGTCCACAAATAAGTCTTTGTAATTATCAAGCAGAGTGTTCAGTTTCTCACTTGTAGTGTAACAGGAAACATTTTTGATATCCGGCCAGTTCAGCTTAATTTTCTTTAACCAATCTCTCCCAAAGATTGCATCAACATCCTGATCGATAATGTAAACATCACCATTTTGTACTTGGTGTTCGTAAGTGACTTGAACATTTGCAACCCCAACCGGCTTAATGATTTCCCCAGTGTACGTACGTAATTTAATTGATGTTGGCAATAACTTTTTATTTGGACATATTTTTGTAAATTGTCGTAATGACATGGAAGTGATGGCGGCTCCTGTATCGAGCTCCATGTTGGTTGGTGTATTGTCGATATTTACTTTTAGCAAAATTTTATCGTTGTTAATGTCGTTTGTCTTGTAAATATTTAATGCATGAATTGAATAAATATCGGCACCATCGTCTGAATTTGAATCAACATCAACTTGATGTTGTTTCCGTGTAGTTGAAGTTTTGTTTGGTGATTTTGCATTATTCGCGGATTTTAAACAAACATTTGCCAAATGGCCTTTGGTTCCACATTTTGTACAAGTTTTAAATTTAGCAAAACAATCATTGGCATTGTGGTTTTGATTACCACATCTAAAACACTTCCCAAATAAAGAAGCTATTCCAAAAGGCTTTGTGGTATTGTCATTTTTCCTTTCAAACTTCTTTTTTGAAGTCGAAGGTTTGCTACTTTCATTAATTTTACTAACAAGATTTATTTGACTCGAGTTGCTTTGCATCTGTTTACTTTCACATTTTGCCATTTCTATTGACAATGCTAATTCAACAGCTTTATCAAATGTAAACGTGGGAGCAGTTTGCTGTAACAACCGTTCCCGTATGTCGTTGTCGCGAATACCTTTTATAAATTGTGATCTGAGGTGAGTGTTTATTGTAGGTTTATCACACTCAATGCACTTAAAATTACAGTTTGTAGTTAAACGTTTTAATTCGGCAACAAAATTTGCTATTGATTCACCCTCGTGCTGTACCCGTAAGGAAAACCGATGCTGTTCTGCAATTTCACTTGGTGGTGGACATATGTGCATCTTCAACAACTGCACAACCTCCTTATATGTTTTAGAGCTGGGCGAGTCAGGTGACATAATGTTTGAGAGCGTTTGGTACATCTTTGGCCCTAAATAATTTAGAAAAATTTGTACTTTTTTTCTATCAGCTTCTGGAGTTTCATCCGTAATGCCACGTAAACTTAAATGGTTTTCGAGTCTTTGGATGTATGTATTAAACGACTCGTTGTTTTCATCGAATGGTTGCAAATGTACACCGTGTAGATCTGGTTTCGTAAAATGTGATTGTTGCGGATTTGCTTGATTCAGTATTTGTAATTGGGTTTCTTGCATCTTTTGTACCACTGAAGTTAGATTTTGTATTAATTGTTCCATTTTCGTAATGAATGCCTTAACCTCGTACGATTTTCCTACCTATTCAATTAAATTAATTAAAGGATAAAGGATTCGCCAAGAGGGCTATCAAGGCTTTTCGGATTTCAGGCCCCTGAATACAAGGAAATAAGGTCTCCCAGGAAGCAAAACCAGGCTCTTTTTACCTAATTAAACGCCAATAGGTAGGTACATGATGTATGTAAACCTTGATGTAAGCTTTTCATGTAAATGTAAAAAGGTACGTTTTAAACTATCCTCGTCGCCACTTTGTTATGTTCGGCACGTAGTCTTCAAGTCGAATAATTCAGAATACCAGTATTCGTTTGTACACTTAATATATTTCATAGTAAGTCAGTAAAAAAGCATAACCTAAAAAGTACATGTCATTTCCTCTGTGTCTCCCGTTCCGTCTACGTACACATATATATAACAATCTATTACACAGGCGCTTTCTTTCGGCTACTTCGCAATCATGATTTCGAGATCGTGATTCGTAGGATCACGTTTTACGAAAGAACGCGCGAATTTAAATCAAAGTATGGTTAAGTTTACGTAGTGCACATTTGCATTCGAATTACGTATTTTTTGTTTGGATTATGAAAATAATTTAAATACAAGTGTAAGTACTTGCACGATTATGCTCCTATTCAGAATTCAGTTACAAATATTGACTAATTTAACATTTGAGCAAAAATATCCTTGCATATATAGGTTAGGAATTCGTGTCAAAAAACTTTTATGTTCAGTTTGTTCACGATTTTAGCAATCATGATTATAAGATCACACTTCGAAAGAACGTGATTTGACAATCCAAACGCGTTTGGATCACCGAAAGAAAGTGCCTCACACTTTTACCACACACAACAGTTTTCTGTGCGTCTACCACATTTTACGACAATTTATTTCGACTGCTTCAAGGTACACACTAACCGTACTCTATTAGGTGTTGCGTTTTTTTCTATAGCATTGCATTGACCGTCTGTAGTATATGTTGTCTGTGGCAATACTTAAATTTGTCGTAAGTAAGTGGTGCCCCCACACACCATTGGAGGGTGATGGCAGCTCTAAAATTTGTGGCGCTAGCTGGCGCTAGGTCAGCAGAACACAAAACGTCAAAATTTTACCCGAAAAAACAAAATGGTGATGCTAGAAAAAATTTCCCCCCCGCACTATTGGGGGGTGGCGCTAGCTATAAAATTTGTGGCGCTAGCTGGCGCTAGGTCCGGTGAACTCAGCGCTTGCTTTTGGAAATGATCAGACGCAATGGTGGTGCTAGCGTTAACATAGCACCCCCCGAAAGTCAAGGGCTTTTCTGCAAAATCTATAATGGCGCTAGCTGAACTCAAGGTGGCGCTACCTAACGCTAGCTATAGAGATTCTAGCGCAATCTATCTTTAGTCAGAAATTTGAAATGGTGGTGCTAAGTTAAAGGACCCGTATGTTCCTAAGCACGTGGAATCAAACAATCTTGTCACGTGAAAGCAGCCTGTTGAAATTGTTGAACGATTACGTTTTTATTGATTCCAAAACTCGAGTCCTGTATTCTTTTACTGCCGGCGTAATTCAGTATGGAAATCCGAATCTAGCAGGTTAACGTCTCCTAACGGTAACTATATATTTAGAGAGTTGTATTTGTCGTAAGAAAATTTTGGTACTCCACGGGTATAAACGTTACAATAGAAATGCATTACAAGGTATCGACATATTTTTCAACATTGTCTATTCTAACGGCCTTATTTTAAGACGATAAAATTAAGTGACGTGTGGCGAACATGCAACAAAATAAGATCCGCAATATTTCGCGTGAATTTGAATTTATGGGACCATTATTTACCTCTGGATCCAGAGAAAAATTGTGTTATATCAGGTAATATGGCTTAACTTCGTTTCCAGTAATGAACGAGTCTTGGTTTTCGTATTGCAGAATCGAAGTTTTGTTCTGTTCTATCTGGGCCGTTGAAAAGTGTCATTGGGTTATCGGAACAGGAAATTGCCGATTTAGCCGATTACTTCAGAGTGCAAGATGGACGAATATTGTACACTCAATTTTGTGAGGTCATACAGAACAACAGTAAGTAGTGCTGTTTAAATTGTTCTGGTCACTGTTATCAAAAATTGTCTTGCAGTACCGAATTTTTCCACAAATAAGCCTTTGGTCACTGGTCTGGAATGGGAAGACCCTATGCAAGTAAATCGGTTGAGTATTACTGAGGAACGTCGATTAAACCTTTTGATAACCAAAATGGCAGTTCAAGTTAATATGAAGAAACTAGTATTAAAGCCATATTTTCAAGATTATGAATTGGTAACCGATTGTATAGTTTGATAGTAAGTCCATTGGGGTATACCTACTTTTATTAGGTATCGAAGAATGTTGGTACTGTAACAATAGCGCATTTTGCACGAATACTAACCTATTTAGGAATACTAGTATCAGCGGAAGATTTTAATTTACTAGTAAAAAAGTATCTTAAAGATAGTTATACGCTGAATTACGTAGCGTTTATAGCTGCAATCGATGCGTCGGTTGACTACATGGATAAACATGGCATGCTCGATTTAGGAGGGGTACTTATCGAAGATGACTGACAGGCATACCTACACTTATCGTTGTGCTTCCTCTACAGGACTTACATGCTCAATTTCCCGGACGTTTAATCGACGCAGAACTACCAAAACTACCCAGGCCTGAAATTGGCAAAATTTTAGCTGCAAGTATCTTTGGAAAACAAACAACATTTCATCCAGCTTTGGAAATTCCAAAACAATCTCAAGATCTCATTACGATCATGCGAACCATACAAAAACATATAATATCGAACCGACTACGAGTGAATGAATTTTTTAGGGTAAAGATAGTACTTACACGAGTGTACCGTAAACAATAAGTAAATTGTAGGATTTCGACCCACTGCATACTGGTAAAGTGACCGTATCCCAATTTCATCGAGGTCTGGATGCCTTAGGGATAAGTTGTACTAACAAACTGTTTCTGTCACTGCCTGAAATTGAAGCAATTATGGTGCAATATCGTGATCCTAGCGATCCTATGCGGGTTTGTTGGAAAACGTTTGAAGACGATGTAGATCAGGTTTTCACTGTCAAAGTATGATCTCTCTATTGTATCGTATTCCGTAACTACTGACTACGCTAAAACCTTACAGGAGTTAGAAAAGTGTCCCTGTCTGGATGTAATTTCTCCCCCTAGAGCTGTAAGCGAACTTCCCCAAAAAGGGGGTAAGGTGTGGCAACAAGTTTCCAGTCAAACAAGAGATTTGTGTGAGGAAGCGCTTATGAAAGTGAAACATAGAACCATGAAACGAGCAATAATGCTTAAACCGTTATTCGGTGACTATGATACGTAAGTAGATAGGCAAAGTAATGTGCGCATATTAACAATTAACAAACGTCTTATTACTATTACCTAATGTATAAACCCGTATTCATATAGCGAACGAATTGAATTGAAGGGGGGATTCCAGTTGTAGGTACATACATTAATGCCTAAAAATATGCTACTTGAAATGTCGTTTTACGCGCTTAAAATCTGAGTTGAAGAAAAAGGGTCTCTATCTGTACGTCTACAGTAACTATTCAAGAACCCGGCTATAAGCCCGTAATCACGTATTTTTGAAAAAAAAAATTTTATTTCATACTATCTAGTAATCACCGCTTTCCCAGACTGATTTGAGTCTGGTAAATCGTATTTTACCAGACTGAAAATTTTTACCAGACTGGAAATTTTGCCTAGCAACCGCAACTGACATCCATCTAAACGTATGCATTGATATTTGTCAAACCACTGTCAGATCAAACAAATCAAGTGATCGACTTTTGCTTTTATTTTAATGTGTACCTACAACATTCTAATCAAAATGGTATTTTAATAGAAATAGAGCAATATGAAATAAAATGTTTTACATTATTTGTATGTTAAATCAGTTAACGTTACTCGTTTCGAAATTCCTGCCTCAGCTACGCTTCGGCAGTAAACATCTCACTCGTTAACGTAAACCTTGATTTACCATACTCATATGTAAATAACTATTACAGCGCACAACCCGGACATAAAAAAAATATATACCGTGACTGATAACATGCGTCTCACGCGATATTTAACAAAAAACCTCTTATAGCCGGGATGAGTAGATTGTAAGGAAGATGTTAAGCCTTTGGCCGGGTTTTCAAATTCGTTCTACGCCGTTTAAAACGAAATTTTGAAAAACGCTCAATATCAAAAGTGTAGAAAAACTGCATGCAAACGTTAGGCAACACATCATACTACATACGTTCGGCAAATCGCCGTTAATTGCTTCTCTTCTATTGGTTGCATTATTAGCTAATTGTGTGCACTTTGTGAAATGGGCGTGTTTACTACAACAACACTTACATTTGTTTGTACTACTACGGATATAAATAGTAAATTGTGTATAGTAAAAGCAAAACATTCCCGGACTAAAATAGCCGATGCCAACAGTCCGGGAATTTTCTACACATGTTCTACCAAGTCACTGTAGTTCTACCCTTCATGGTATTCTAATGAAAGGTCTCAACGAAAGGAACCGTTTTCTAACCAACTACTTGCCTTTCTTTCTATCCTCTTATCAAAGTACGGGGTGGAGGGGGAGGGGGAGTGGAACTAGTTTTATCCTTCATGGTACTCTAATGAAAGGTCTCAACGAAAGGAAATAATTTCTACCAACCATAGCCCTCCTCCTCGACCTCTTAAAGTGATCGGGTATATTCCCTTATACCTCAAGAACGCATTTTCGGAAGAGGGTACTCACAAAGGGCGATTGAGACGTCGGTAAGAAATATATCCATTGGTCATGTCAAAACAAAAGCTATTTCGGTTAAAAAATGCACAATCTATACTTGTTTACAGTATTAGTGCAAGAGGTCGTTTCACGCAATTTACAAATTCTCCCAAAGTTTGATGCTGTGAGCCTTTCACGTCATTCTTCTAACCACACATTGCTCCGATGCTGTCTAACAGTGCGTTCCAAAATCAGATCCGTATTTTCCGAAAGACTCAGTATGAACTTCTCTTTAGCATTTTCTAGTTCTTGTTCTACCATAACAGGTGCTGGCTCTGCAACGTTCGGTCCGTAATCTGCGTCTTCTTCACCTGCATATTTCAATTCAATTTTTTTTCTGGTTTTCTAACACGACGTGAATGTAATTTCCGTATTTGAATTTGACAATATTGTGAAGTATACATTCCAGGAATCTTATCTGCCGTCAGCTGTACAGGGTGGCCAACTAAGAATGCGAGGTACTGTATCTGAGAATCTATCCATCGTAGAGGCTTGCGGTAAAAAAATTTATTACTAAAACGGCCACGAGAAAAACCTGGAAAATATTTTTAAGTTTCTGAAATGGCCGCTAGGGGGCGTAACTGCAATCTGGAATCTAAAGTCACTAGATATAGAAAGTACCGCAATCATCCGCCATTTTTGGGCAAATTTGCTGCCAACTTAAAAAAATTGACAAATAAAATCTGAATAGCTGTAATTTTTTATAACCTAACTTCATAGTACTGTCGTCATGTTTTATAAAAATATATACAGATATCTCCAAACAGGTGGAGTAATCCCTAACATTAAAGTTACTAGAATCTGATAACTTCCGCCATTTTTGGGCAAAAATCATGCGTTCTCTCTCTAACACACGTGCCCAATGGATTGCGGTACTTTCTATATTTAGTGACTTTATTGGAATCTAAAGTCACTATATCTAGTGACTTTAATTAGCAGTACATTATCGACGAATTTAATACGAATAATGCGTAAGGATATTACTACATATTCAGTATGCGAAATTTAAACGTATTCAGTAAACGCATATAAATCGTATATAAATAGGAATAATAAACGCATAATTTTCTACAAGCATAGCAATATCCGCTGGACATTTATGCATAATAGTATAATAAATATATAATGTGTTATATTATGATAATATACAGTGTGTCCCAGATCGCGTGGGATTGCATGGGTAACTTTGTTATTATTAAAGATAGAGAATTGGTTAAATGGGCAATGTTTTGCAGTTTTGGATGCTTATTTAAAATTTCCTTATGGAAATTCAAAATGTCGCATAGGTTCGACGTAAATTCAAAAAAACTAAAATTGGTCATTTCCTTGAATGTCTTATATCATCGAAAGTATAAGAGATATAAAAAAAAGTTTTATATAAAAGTGACTGTCTTTGATACGCTTAATTTAGAATTGATGTCAAAAAAATTCAAGATGGCTACTTTTGAGGAACATTTACCAACTTTCTAAAGTTAAATAGGCGCTATATGAGATTTTTAGATTACTTGATAGATTTTTTAATTCTCTTTTCAACGAGCCATCATAACATAAGATTGAAAATAAGATACCAGTTATATCAACGGTTTTTGTATTTTAATCAAGTAGGCTGTGATGAATTAAAAAAAAACAAAACAAAATCTATTCGAGCCAACAAAACAATGAAAATAATTACATCAGATGTTTAAAAAATCAGGGGCGCACTCATGAGAGGGGGGGTTTGGGCATTACAACTCCATCCAAAATTTTATATAAGTAGGCCTAGAAAAATTTTGATTGTTATAACATCACTTATTGACTATCTTATTATCCATACTTACATACCTACAAATGGTGGTATAACTACAAACTATCTCCTCGAAAAAATGTCATGCCATTATCCAGTTAAAACATTTCAAGACACTTTGCTTTATTTTACACAATGTATTACCATTGATGCATTGTCCCAGGTCACATTTTGTAGGTCAGTAGGTGGTTTATCCGCAAGAATATCGAAACTAACAGTTTTACCAGTCCGAGTATATGGACAGATGAATCTTTTTCTAACTGCGGAGTGTTCAAATCGACATAATGAACACTATACTCGTCACAGGAAAACCTACATGATGTAGTTTCACGCCGAAATCAAGTAATATTTTTTTTAAATAATGTATTTTATGGCATAACGGGAAGTCATGTAATTGGACCGGTAATCTTTGTTGGATTTTTAACTGCTCACCATGATTTACAAATTCTCCAATAAACTCCCTCAAAGGATTTTTCTCGAAAACGTATGTTTTGAAGAAAGGGTTGGTTTATGCTATCTACCAACAAGCTGGCTGCTCAGGTCACAATTCACGAATTATGTACAGACCATTAAATTATAAAAGTAAGTACTTAATTAAACAAGTTAAAAAGTAATCGTAAACGATTTACATAAAGCGCATTTCCACTTGCATTCATTTCCCATTTGTAAGATGCAACTTTTGTTAAAATCGTAAAAATCCGGCCACAAATATGAAAGATAGCGTTGCACATGGGCAATCCATTTTTGACGTGCTACTTCAATTTCAGTTTATGAGAAGAATTTCATTTAAATGCTTTTCTAAATAAGAAAATTGCATGCGCAAAAAATTTTAAAACTAATTTACTATAACTAACTAATAAACTAAGATTTTCCTTTTTGTTCCAAGCGCCTAAGTATCAAATTTCACTTAAATAGTTCCATAGATAAAAAAGTTGGCACGGCGCATGCGCAAAATAAAATTTTGAAACTGGCGTTTGATTTTCCTTTATCCCAAGTGCCTATGTATCAAATTTCGTTTAAATTCTTCCATTAATAAAAAAGTTGGCACTGCGCATGCGCAAAACCAAATTTTGAAATTGGCGTTTGATTTTCCTTTATTCGAAGTGCCTATGTATCAAATTTCGTTTAAATTCTTCCATAAATAAAAAAAGTTGGCACTGCGCATGCGCAAAACCAAATTTTGAAATTGGCGTTTGATTTTCCTTTATCCCAAGTGCCTATGGATAAATTTCGTTTAAATTCTTCCATTAAAAAAGTTGGCACTGCGCATGCGCAAAACCAAATTTTGAAATTGGCGTTTGATTTTCTTTTATTCGAAGTGCTTATGTATCAAATTTCGTTTAAATTCTTCCATAAATAAAAAAGTTGGCACTGCGCATGCGCAAAACCAAATTTTGAAATTGGGGTTTGATTTTCCTTTATTCCAAGTGCCTATGTATCAAATTTCATTCAAATACTTTTATAAGTAAAAAAGTTTGCAATTCGGTTTATAAATAGTCGAGCTGCGAAAAGGGCACTGTGAATTTTGAATCGATTCGATTCAACTTTTGGCATTGCGTATTATATGGCTAAATCTATGCCCATATTGAATTTCATGCATTTCAGTTCATAACTAACGGAGATGTAAAAGCGATCGAACATTTCTAAACAAAGTTATCGTTCACACGGACAGATAGATGGACAGACAGACAAAGGAACAGACGGAGAGACCAACCGGCAGGCGAAAGATAGCAATGCAAAATTATAAACGATCTCTAGGATCGTTAATAAACGGCAAAAGTGTAAAATTATGGAACATGTAAAAAACGGTTTTTTTGTTTTTTTACAATAACTTTTTTTGTAAGCGGTACAGAAAAAATTCCTTCCTTGGTACAAGACTCGACACCATAACGAACCAAATAGCGGAAAAAGTAGAACAATAGCTCTTAAGATAAAAGAACTAGTAGCGTCGCAAAGTTACGACGGACGGACGGACGGACGGACAAAGTGGCATTTTTTTTTATTTTTGTGGAAATGCGCTAAAAATAAAAGTAAAGTGGAAGTAGCTACCACTACAATAATAATAATAATCATCAATGGCAACACGTTGCCTAAACTAAACTGTCTTGAAGTGTGTTTCACTAATAATGGCCAGTATTTTAAACATCTGGTGTAATTATTTTCATTGTTTTGTTGCCTCGAATAGATTTTGTTTTGTTTTTTTTTATTCGTCACAGACTACTTGATTAAAATACAAAAACCGTTAATATAATTGGTATCTTATTTTCAATCTTATGTTATGATAGCTCGTTGAAAAGAGAATTAAAAAATCTATCAAGTAATCTAAAAATCCAATATGGCGCCCATTTAACTTTAGGAAGTTGGTAAATGTTCCTCAAAAGTGGCCATCTTAAATTTTTTTGACATCAATTCTAAATTAAGCGTATCAAAGACAGTCACTTTTATATAAAACTTTTTTTTATATCTCTTACACTTTCGATGATATAAGACATTCAAGGAAATGACCAATTTTAGTTTTTTTGAATTTACGTCGAACCTATGGGACATTTTGAATTTCCATAAGGAAATTTTAAATAAGCATCCAAAACTGCAAAACATTGCCCATTTAACCAATTCTCTATCTTTAATAATAACAAAGTTACCCATGCAATCCCACGCGATCTGGGACACACTGTATACTACTATATGATTACGTTTTTTAAACGTAGGGTTTTAGTCTACTATACGCGCGTTATATACGAAACTGAAACTGTGTTGGTTGGGTAGGCCCTTGGAATAAAGGAAAATCTAACGCCAGTTTCAAAATTTAGGTTTGCGCATGCGCAAACTTTCTTATTTATGAAAGCATTGAAATGAATTTCTTCTTATAAACTGAAGTTGAAGTAGGACTTCAAAAATTGATTGCACTTATGCAACGCTATCTTTCATATTTGTGACCGGATTTTTACGATGTTAATAGAAGTGGCATCTTACAAAGGGGAAATGAATGCAAGTGGAAATGCGCTTTTTGTAAATCGTTTACGATTACTTTGTTAACTTGTTTTGTTATTTGCGACATTTTCAATTCACTACATGCGAAATTAGACCATTCGCCTATTTTAATTACAGTCCATTTAAGCTTTCCTGACAAACTTTTTTTTCGAAATTTTGAAAACTAATTCCAGATTCATGATTTTCATGTTCAAAAACCCCCAGATACAAAATTTCGTCGAAATCAGAATTTTTTTCGCACCCCCAAGTAGGGGTGTGCCCTTTCGTGGTAGGAATTTTGGAATTTTTTTTTCAAAATCGGATAGGGCCTACCCGAAAACCTATTCAAAGGTGTGTCACCCATCTTTGTCACTCTTATGGTTGCTGAAAAAAAAATGAAAGGAAGAAATCCAAATTTCACCCCTTCTTTGGTGGTGGCTCTCAAACGAAACACGTTGGACTCTCGGTTTATTTGGAAAAAGTGCTTGTCTTGATCCCCTATATCACACAATTTTTTTTACATGCGGTCTTGTAACAGCCTGTATAAGTCAAGTGTCAAATTTTAGCTTCATATGTCCAAACGGTTTTTAGTTATCGTGCTGGCCGGACGTTCAGACTTTTTGGTGTCTTTGATATAGTAGTAATTGCACACAATACTTAACAACGCACTTTTGTCTGTCTTGAATACAATACTGCTCATACAGTGTGTCAATTTTAAAAGTTTCAATGGGAATATCTGGCAAAATAAAAGAATTGGAAAAACGCGGTTTGAAATAACTGTCAATTGTCATAGAAGTTGGGGGAACTAGAACCAACATATTTTTGTCACGGAGTGAACCACCCCCAAAGCGCCCCCACTCCAACTCTCAAATTGTGAATGGCACCACTCCTTTATGTCATACCTTAAATGAAAGGTATGTTTGAGTAGTATATTCGTCTGCTTGAGAAAGGTGCTGTAGGGACATTAATCCACAGACCTAACTCGATACCAACTGATCGAGTATGATCAATGACTTTGATTTGAAACTAATCACGTCGGGGACAAGCAGGTACCAGACGATTTTATTTCATTCTGTTGTAAGCAAAAGTATAACCTATTTGATATGATAATCCACATTCTCAAACACTTGTCTTAGAATATATCTGCATTCTCTAACATTGCATTACCGAAGATTTTCTATTGAAGCAGGTTTCAAAGACAAGAGCTTTCAAGTAGTCCCAGAGGAAAAAATCAAAGGATGTTAGATATGCAAATGAATATACTTACTACTCAATGAGACCTTTAATTTAAGGTATGCCAAAGGGGATGGTGCCATTTGAAATTGAGAGATGGTGGAGGGCACTTAGAAGGTGACTCGCTCCGTGACAAAAATATGGTGGTTCTAGTTTCCCCAACCCTTATGACAGTTAGTCCAAATCGTGTTTTTTCAATTCGCCTATTTCGCGATATCTTCGCATTAAAACTTTTCAGATTAGCACACTTATGGGCAGGAACAGATAAAAATAAAATTTTTCAGACATAATAATGGTCACGTGACACGATCTCAAATGCGGCAATGTATCTCATCTAATGGCATTTTATTATCAGGCGAAGAATTATATGCGTTAGAGGAGAGATTCAATGACGACCTCGGATTCAATTACTTTTGGTTTTTGAGAGAAGTGGAGCCTAAGCGACACGAACTACCCCTAGTAAGTTTTTATATGAGAAACTTTATTATCACTCTGTGTGACTAGTTTACAGGTTTCATTTCTGATATGAAGAAACTCAACGCCCCAAAACCGCCAAAACCTGTCGAACGCAATGAGAAGGACATTGTTATGGTATTGGCGAAGATTAAAAGTAAAGTTGTGCGCGAACGAATAAGGCTGTTGGAATTTTTAAGAGATTTTGATCGTCACAACGAAGAAGTCATGTCAAGACAAGACTTCAAACGTGCGATAGATAATTGTAAGCTTGATTTGACGGAGGGAGAGTTTGAAACACTTTTTGAAGTGTAAGTACTTCCACAATGCAAAAGAAACACAATTACGTGTAAATCTGTTTCAGATTCGGTTCAATAAAACGATGCGACTGTGTCGACTACAAACGATTTGAAAATGTAGTAGAAGAAGCGTTTACGCAAAGTTGCTTGGATCGAGCACCTTTGATAATGCCTATACAGCATGTGCCGACCAATGATTGTGAGAGAAATTTCCTAAACTTTGAAGAGAGGAAAACTATGTGTATTGCTCTTCAAAAACTAGCAAAGAAACCGGAACAAGAAATGAATTTAATGGCAGTGTTGGAAGTACGTACGTTATTATCTTCCATAGCGCGCCAGAAAAGGATTTCATTACAATGACATGAATAATGATTGTTGTAAACATTTTTTCGAAATCATTTTTTGGTATACCTACAAATTGCTAGAAAATAATAAGAAAACGATCAAAAGCTTCTTATAATAGCACACTACAAGACAATAGTTTTGAGCGCAAGCATATAAATGATTACGAACAATAAACACCCTCGCATCCTTTCAAAGGATTTCATCATGATACCGTTAAAGTTTAGTAAATCCACTACAGTCCTCTAATCAGGTATTTTATTGCACAACAAATATTTGCTAGATACACTAGATGTGTTTGAAGATGTTATAAAATAATCTATATTCGCACTTATGTCGGGAGGGATTGCATTTACTTTAGTTTTACTACCTATCCTATAATGAACCCTTTTTTCAGGATTTTGATCGTACTAAATGCGGAACAGTATCTCAACAGCAATTACTAAAAACGTTAGCTGTCAGAGGAATGATGAATATGATTTCAAGAAGCGAATTTGATATAATATGCAAAGGATTTGGATTCAGAAGGGGTCTACGAGATGAAGTGGATTATCGTGCTTTCATCAAAGCATTAGACATCTTATATGCAACAAACAAATATTTACCATTTTGAAAGTACCTACCAATCTTATTCCCGAGTATATTTCAATTCATTAAATGAAACGATTTCAATACTATGCTGTTGTGTTTAGAATTGCCCCAGGGGCAGAGGTAGCCCCTCTTTTCGTTACATACGAAATATAACTGAGATACCCCCTCTGGACTGGACCGATTACAATGAAATTTTGCAGGTAGATTCTTTATCAAATTTGTAGATCGAAGTACGTGAATAGGCAATGTAACCCAAAAAATAAAGTATGTTCTTTTGACATCTCCGTTAGTTATGAACCGAATTGCATAATATTCAATATGCGCATAGCTTTAGCCATATAAAACACAATTCCAAAAGTTGAGCCTAATCGATCCGCATTCACAGTGCCCTTTGCGCATCCTGACCATTCACAGACCGAATTGCAAACTTTCTTATTTATGAAAGTATTTAAATTATAATTTGATACATAGCCACTTGGAATAAAAACAAATGTAGCGCCATTTTCCAAATTTGGTTTTGTGTAGGATGTACAGTGCCAACTTTCTTATTTATGGAAGCAATTAAATGAAATTTCATACATACACGGTGTCCATTTTTCGAGTGCCACTATGGGGATCTCACTTATCAAAGTTGGTTAAATGGGGGCAAAGTTGCCAATTTTCGTGCCGAATAAGACTCTGTGATGTTGAACCCCTACCGATAGGCAACACATCTTACAACTAAAGGAATTTTAGAATCCCGCTTTGCGCAGACGTGAATTTAGTACAGAAAGCTGGAGAGTGGCGTCGGCGGGAGCACTGGTGGTCCAGATTTTGATGGTGGAGTAGCGGTTTTGTGTGCTTTTCAAAGTTTAGTTAGTGTTTGATATATTTTTTCCAAGCGATATCAAGGTAGTACTCGTTTTATTTAAGCTATTTTAAATTCGATGTTTAAATTTCATGCCTTATTTGTTTTCGTTTTGACTTTTTCTTTAGATTTGACCTCTGCTGATTGCAGGCATGGCGTGGGCGGCTATTGTTTGAGTTTAGCGTTAAATGAGTCATGTTTTAGCTGGGCTCCTTGTGCGCCTGATTATGCCGCAATGTTTCCCATGATTATTTGAATGTGTTTACGCGGGAGTGGATTGCTAGAATGTTACTGCCCTGAATGTTTGGATTAATAATTTATTTCCGTGGAAGAGAAGAACCACATGCAGTTTGCTCTGTCGCTGTATAATATATGTTTATTTTTTTCTTCTCGCGCAGGCTGCAGTTCTTAGCGTCTCGCATTAGCGAGAAAGGGGGGCCCTCTGATTAATTTCTCTTCTGTTTAAAATGTGGATTTTTGTATGTGGTGTGGTCTGCTTCCGCTTGAATACCCGTGTTGGCATTCTCAGGTGCACTTGCACTTGTTACGTAATAAATGAATGATAAGCAAGGTCGGGACAAGGTCATGCCTGCTCTACGTGGTTTAAAATGAACTCTTGATGTTTTTTTTTCAGGTAGTGTTTTTATACCCCAATGATTTATTTTGTTCACAATTTGTAATTATGTCAAGTGTATCTATCGTTTTTGATTAATTTGTTCTAGCCACATTTGCCTTTATTACTTGATTTTTGTTGTACGATTTGAGATGTTTGATTTTCGTATTTCTGTTTGTACATTGCTACCTGTAATTGATTTATTTCTTGTATTTGTGTTTAGCCAGGTTTTTTTTATTGCTGGTTCTTTTTTCCTGGCTTTTCGGTTTGGATTTGCTCTGCTGAACCAAGCCCCGTGCGTAATAAATTTCATTTTCTCTTTCCCTTTCGGCCGCACAAAAATTCTGTCTTTTATTTAATTCCCTTCCCGATTGTGTCTCACGTACAAACGCATAAAAGACCGCCATAGGAAAATGACAACGTAGGAGTCCATTCGTACAAATTCGTCCAAGTCGAATATTACCGAGATCTGAATGGCGCGAACTTCCGACATTTTGACAGCTAAAGTTAGATGGCGCTGTCTGCGATTTGTTTCCCCAGAGTTGCCAACTGTAAGTACAGGGTAAGTCAATATTTCCAGCACCTCCTGAGGACCCCTAGGAACATTACAACTCTGAAAAGAAATTTGAAATATCTCCAATAGTTTTGAAGATATCGCAAAAAAACGAAAATTTCTGATTTTCGTTTTTAATTTTTTTATGATAAACTAATCGTAGTAGACATTGCTAATTAACACATTATTCAGACACTTTTCAATGGAGATTTCAAATATGGCATCCTGTTTTTAATAATTTTCAAGATGAAGGAGAAACACGTGGCAACTTTAGTTTTTCTTATGGGCGCCATTTTGAATTTTCACATTTTGAGACTACGTATTTTTTTCTATTTACGATATATCACACATGGTGGTTCAGTATCACATTTTCCTAAAAATACAATTTTTAATTATTTGAGAAGAGTGCTTTGGAAAAAGAAAACGTTCTTTTGTTTTGAACAAAAGGTTGACTTTCATTTCAATTTCATGTAGTGCCATTTAGGTTTATGTTAGTTGTATGCGAAAATGTCTTTTTCAAGTGCAGATCAAATAGATATGATCCAAATTTACTACACTTCTCATCGAAATGCCCACATGGCTGCTGCAACATACTTCCAGCGTTATCCAGAGCGGCAACAGTCTAGTTTGAGGTATTTTTCTTTGCTGCATAAAAACTTGGGCGAATATGGTTCTTTTAAAAGATGTAGACAGTAATATGGTGATAGACCTCCATTTCCTGAGGACATTTCTAACGGATTTTATTGACAATAAGGTTCCTCTTTATCGTTTGAACTCGATAGGTATGGTTCCAGTAAGATGGCGCACCGCCCCATAATGCTAGGAGAGTTGGGAATGCCTCAGAGTATCTTACTCTGAGGGGAATGCTTATCGGAATTGTTCCCCAATCATGTTATTGCTAATAATGGCGACGTACGCTGGCCGGCGCGGTCACCTGACCTGTCTCCCTTGGACTATTTTTTGTGGGGAACAATGAAAAATGAAATTTACAAAACATTGCCAGCCGACCTTGATGAACTTCGTTATAGAATTGTGAGCACTCTCAGGAACAAGATAAGAAGAAGGGATGTGTCAAGAGCCATAGTAAATCTTAGGAAGAGAGTGGCACTGTGCTCAGAATTAGGAGGTGGGCTGGTGGGCAATTTGAACACATGTTATGTATTTTGTTCTAATTTTAATTATAATTTTCTTGCATAATGAAGGTTCAATTCTGTTCAGATGAAAATCGAATTTCTACTTCTCTGACAACGCTGCAACCAGACAGATGGATCAAACTGTCAAACATTTGTTCACAACAAATGAACGTTTTCTTTTTACAAAGCACTCTTCTCAAAAATTAAAAATTGTATTTTTAGGAAAAATGTGATACTGAACCACCATTGTGTGATATATCGTTGTAAAGAGAAAAAAAGACGTAATCTCAAAATGTGAAAATTCAAAATGGCGCCCGTAAGAAAAACTAAAGTTTTCACGCGTTTCTCCGTCATCTTGAAAGTTATTAAAAACAGGATGCCATATTTGAAACCTCCATTAAAAAGTGTCCGAATAATGTGTTAATTAGAAATATCTACTATGATTAGTTTATCATAAAAAAATTAAAAATGAAAATCAGAAATTTTCTTTTTTTTGCGATATCTTCAAAACTATTGAAGATATTTCAAATTTCTTTTCAGATTCTTGTTCGGCACGAAAATTGGCAGCTTTGTCCCCATTTAACCAACTTTCTATCTCTTAAGATAAGTGAGATCCCCATAGTGGCACTCGAAAAATGGACACCGTGTATACACTTTAAATAAAAGCAAAACTAACATCAGGGTTAAAATATGGTTTTGCACATGCTATAGCCATATAGTCCAGTAAGAATAGATCAAACCAGGTGTCAAATTCTTGACAGAATAGCTTCCTAGCTGAAACCAAAAATTGCCAACATATGTACGCACTTACAGACGGGAAAAATTTATTCTTTAAAAGTTGCTTAAAATGATCTAAAACGTCTTTACGCATGCATTTTGTTTGCTTTTATTAGAGGGACCTACCATCCAAATTTCGTTAAAATTGCTCCATAAATAAGAAAGTTGGATGTTGCACATGCGCAACACTATTTTTTGCGCATGCATTTTGTTAGCTTTTATTAAAAGGACCTACCATCTAAATTTCGTTAAAATTGTTCCATAAATAAGAAAGTTGCATTTCTGCGCATGCGCAACACGATTTTTGCGCATGCATTTTGTTTGCTTTTATTAGAGGGACCTACCATCCAATTTTCGTTAAAATTGCTCCATAAATAAGAAAGTTGGATGTTGCACATGCGCAACTCGATTTTTTGCGCATGCATTTTGTTTTCTTTTATTAGGAGGACCTACCATCCAAATTTCGTTTTAATTGTTCCATAAATAAGAAGATTGCATTTCTGCGCATGCGCAACACGATTTTTGCGCATGAATTTTGTTTGCTTTTATCACAGACAACAGTCTGTGCTTTTATTAAAGGGACTTACCATAGAAATTTCGTTTAAATTGCTTCAGAAACAAGATCGTTGCGTTTTGCACATATGCAACACAATTTTTTGACTTTGACAATTTTTTTCTCCGTTTTTTGATAATATAACCCGGCCCAATTTTTTGTAGGTTGTACACAGGAAAATAAGGTCTTCCAAATAATAGAATAAAAATTTTAGGTTGATGCCGTTACGGCGCTCCAAAATTTTTTTTCAAAAATCCGGCCCGTTATTTTTCTGTTCGGTATGCCTAAAACATATATACAAAATTTCAACAAAACCCGTCGAGCCGTTTTCTCAGAAAATTGCCAACAAACGTACGTACGTACATACAGACGGAAAAAAATTTTATTCTTTAAAAGTTGCTTAAAATGGTCTAAAACGTCGACATTTGATGAAATTTTGAAATGTTCAAAAAACGGCTATCGCAATAGCTACCTAGCACATGCTAGGAAGCTAAAAATGACAAATAGGGGAACTAAATCATGTATTACTAATTCCTTCGGAAATGTGTAGAAGAAGGTTCCCTGATTAACATATGATAAAGTCCCCCCGAC